GACTGATGCCCCTGTAGTTATCACAATTGCTGAGATCGCCTGTCTTCGGTATTTTGATCAGAAGTCCTTCTTTCCAGTCTGTTGGTACTTGTTCCTCATCCCAAATCTTATTGAAGAGAATGTGGAGTATCCTTGCAGTTGCCGCTACGTCTGCTTTCAGTGTCTCTGCTGGACTGTTGTCTTGTCCTGCTGCTTTGCCACTTTTGATTTGTCTGATGGCCATGCTGATTTCTTCAATTGTTGGTGGGCCAACATCGATTGGGAGGTCCGTGGGTGCTTCTTCGATGTTGGGTGGGTTCAGTGGCGCTGGTCGATTCAAGTGTTCTACCCACATGTTTTGTTGCTCTTCAATGTGGGTGATTACCTTGCCTTCCTTGCTTTTCACTGGTCGTCCTGGTTTGCGACGATTTCCAGAGAGTTTCTTTGTCGTGTCATACAATTGTCTCATGTTTCCTTCTCTTGCAGCCTTTTCCGCCGTCGTTGCTAAATCCTCCACATATTTACGTTTGTCGGTTCTGATGCTCCTCTTTACTTGTTTGTTTACTTCTGTGTATTCAGCTTGTGCCTTGGCTTTTTCTGCTCTTGTTTGGCTGGTATTGATTGCTGCTTTCTTGTTCATCGTTTTTTGAATCTTATCCAATGTATCAACAGTGATCCATTCCTTGTGATTGTGCTTCATGTGGCCCAGAACCTCATGACATGTTGAAGTGATTGCCTCTTTGATCCCCTTCCAGTTGCTCTCCACAGTAGTTCCTTCTCCATTGAGTAGATCATGAAAGGCCTGGAACTTATTGCTGAGGACTATCTTGAATTTGTTGAGTTTGTCAGTGTCCCGAAGAAAAGCCGTATTGAACTTTTGTGATATTGTCCGCCCCATTGTCCAGTACTTCTTGAGTTTCGATTTCATCTTGGCGACCAGCAAGTGATGGTCTGATGCTATATCAGCTCCTCTCTTGGTTCTCACGTCTTACATCATCCTCCTGAACGTTTTGTTGATGGTCGATTTGGTTTTGTGTTGTGTGATCCGGTGAAGTCCATGTGGTTTTGTGTATGCGTTTATGTGGGAATATGGTGCCGCCTATGACCAGTTTATTGAAGGCACATAGGTTTGCGAATCTCTCACCATTTTCGTTCCTTTCTCCCAGTCCGTGTCGTCCCATGATGCCTTCATATCCAGTGTTGTCCGTTCCAATCTTGGCGTTGAAATCTCCCATCAGAATGGTCAGGTCCTTTGTTGGGCACTTCTCGACGATTGACTGCAGCCTATTGTAGAATTGATCTTTAGCGTCTTCATTGTAGTCGTTGGTAGGCGCCTAGCATTGGATGATATTCATTGAAATACCCTCTTTCTTTGTTTTGAAGGAGGCTTTGATGATCCTTGGTCCATGAGATTCCCATCCTATAAGTGCATTTTGTGCTTGTTTGGACAGCATCAATGCAACTCCTTGTGTTTGTGGTGCATTTTCTTCTTCATGGCCGGAGTATAACAGGAGCTCTCCTGTAATTAGTCGTTGTTGTTCAACTTGCATCCAATGTGTTTCACTGATCCCAAGTACCTCTAGGTTGTATCTTCTCATTTCTGCAGCAATTTGGAAGGCTCTTCCGGTGTCCCACATTGTACGAACATTCCATGTACCTAAATAAATGGTTGCTCTGGTTGTCAGAAGGGGCATCGGCCTCGTAACTTCCGAAGGAATTCGGCTTTCATTATGAGGCGTCATAGTTCTTCTAAATGAAGACCTTCTGACTCCCAGGGCAGAGTTTGAAAGGTTTGAATCATTTTTTCTGGTAAGCGTTTTTTAGCGAGTTAGTTTTCTACGGGATGGGGACGCTAACCCCATGCCCAACCCTCCTCCTTTATCCGGGCTTGGCACCGGCAGTAGCTCCCGGAGGGACTCCAGGCGGAGTTTTGTCATACATACATACACACATAAATATACAAACATGCTTTATATAAATAACCTTGCCTGGAATGACATTAACTTGGTCATACTTATTTTTGGTCGATCGTACCAAAAATTATTACTTTTTGAACTTGGATTAATTTAATTTGTTTAACCATTCTCTGAAGAATTGGCTTTTACTGAGTCAAAAGACGTCAGAAAATTTGAAAACTTAATTTTCCTACTTATTGGGATATTATGAATATATTATTTTTATTGAGTTCAACTTAATGGTATGTGATACTCAACTAATCTTAACCTTAGGGTAGTTTAAATCATAGATTCTTCGTAATCTTTTACATGATCGCTTATTATACGTTTGAGTTAGTAGAATTTATATTTTAGTCAAATTTTCTATATCATATTATCCTCTCCGCCTTAACGAACAATATTTTTTTGTTATGAAAATAAAGCTATTGTGATTACAGAATACAGTGTCATTTCTACCTAATGTATATTTCTGTGTATTTGGATGACTGTGAATTCTGTATAGATTAACCATCTGCTTTTGGCAAGATAATCTATAAAGTCATATGACTACAGCACATTGATTTTTGTTTGTTTTTACATTGTTTTCATGTTTATATATATATATATATATCACTCTAGGTATACATTGGAGATGATGTCATTTAGTAAACTGTAAATAAATAAATAAATAAAATAGTACATAGAATAATCACTATTGACGACAGACAATCACAACCTTATTTCTAGCAAAGATTGTTAACGGAGAAAAATAAATACAGAATAAGTCGCTTACAGCCACAACCATCATTTTTTGTAAAGTAAATAATATGAATTCATGAGTCGATTTCAGATAGACCACGCTAAAAAAACCTGGAAGCACTCAATGGCCGATTCGTCTTAGTATGGGACTCCTTGGCAGTGTGCATTCACGATCCCGCACACGGGATTCAAACACAGGACCTTCGGTCTCGTGCGCAAATGCTAGTGAATAGCTATAACTAGTGGAGTTCAACCGTATCTGTTGTGATGCACTTACTCACTGAAGACAATGGTGAACGGTCGCGCAATGTCGTGGATTAGTTGAAGTTAGACATTAACACCGTTGGGCGCCGGCTCAATGGTCTAGGTGTTAAGTGTCCACGCGCGAGACCGAAGGTCTTGGGTTCGAATTCCTCGTGCGGGATCGCGGATGCACACTGCTGCGGAGTCCCCTACTAGAACAAAACGGCCGTCCAGTGCTTCCAGGTTATGCAGGGTGATCTAGCTTAAATCGACTCATGAATTCAACTATTATAAAAATTATCACAATTTCCATAAACCCTCATTCTGATAAATAAAATGAGTTGAGGATTACTTGCTACAGTTAATTTATTTTTTTAATGACACATATAAGCTAGACCAAACTTGAAGTCATAATTTGGTTTGCGTAAAACCACTATTGGTTTTATATGTGGTTAGAAAACGCTGTGAATTAGAGTTTTGTGCCTGTTCACAATAATTCTCAAATTAATTTAAAACTAATGACTACTGTGAAGCAATTGTTGTAATATTATCCAATCCTTAGATATGTTCGGACCCAGTCGATCACGTTTAAACGCCACTATATATTTAGGTAACTGAATATCATAGTTAACATTCTTCAACATTAAATGACTTCCTTTAGAACACCCCACGCAAGTTGTAGTTATGCAAAAGCAGATCAAGCATTTTTTTCAAGCTAAAAACTAAAAGTCTCGGTAGTGTACACAGTGAATTCTATATGAATCATGTATTTTAAAATAGTGGGTTTTTTTGAAAGGACAAAAGCTCCATAGTTGATGATATATTTTATAAAACGAGATATTATTATTTAATGCTAAACTATTGGGTAATTAGACTTGTATGCTATACTAGTCATCTGGTAAATCTAGTTCTTTTGATACCTGTAGTTTATTACTTTAGTCATTCAGTGTTTTGAAAGATATTACTCTCACTAACCGGTATGGAATCATACTACTTAATTGCAATTAAAGTGTACTCACAATTTGTATCGACTTGTGTTGTGTTGTGGTCATTGTTTAATCCAACGTAGATACTTCAGTTCAATAAATTGTAACTAATTTAGTAAGTTATACGTAGTTATCTCATTCTTTAAACAGGTGAGACTATTTATTAAATAAGTATGTAGCACAAACGATATACTGGCAAACTTCTTGAAATAGTTTAATTTAAAGACTCTCATTCTAATGTGTTAGTATACCTTATTAAAGTGTTATTCAACTAGACAGTTGAAGATTGGTGTACATTAAACACATTAGACATTTGATTATCGTTTATTCTTTCTCGATATCGAGTATGTTACGAACGTTCAAAGTTTTAAATGACGTATTCAGCTTATGTAATTATTGGATCAAAACGTTTTATCCACCTACGATTAAAACTCGAATAATTAGGACCGACCAAAAAACCATTCGAGAGAAATTTATAGTTATATTTTGTGGTTATTTTTTAAAGCTAGTTAATATGGATGATTTATATGATCATTTATATTGATAACATTCACGCTCAGGATACTTAAATTAATCAATAATTAGTATTAATTTATTTGCTGGGTACTATCATTCCAATGCACTCTACAATATCAAATAAATAAAAAACCCTGGAATCTTTGGTTATTTTCATTCTCTGGTAGACTCGGTCGTCGACAACATTCACACTGTATTCTGTTTTGGTCGAAGTAGTCTAATTTTACCGTACATTAAGTAAATCTAAAAAATTTTTAGACAATGAATATATTTTTTTCAATTAGGGGAAATTATAAGAATAGTAAAAAACATTGATCAGTTATATAATTTAGGGATTCATTTAGGGAGCTTCAACTGAAGAGTTGGACTTAGTCAGCTTTCCTGAATGTATGCTTCGTGATTATTTACATTTATGTATAGGCTGTCAAAAACCGGAATAAAATGTTTGTTATATGCTCCCGAAATCTTATACAGTTAAGATAAATGAAAAAAACTTTACATCCTAGTAAAGAATTTATCCAAATGTTTTGAAATTATTTTTGCAGAATGTACCATTTCTCTATTTTTTCTTTTCTAATTTTAGACAGTTACGCCAAGAAATGATTGATAAACAAAAAGCTCGTATAAAAAATTCAGAATCTATCGGTGAAGGTCGATGTAACAATTGTAATACTCTATTTGTACCACTTTTACAACCGGCTATTCGATGTGTCAATTGTCATGGGGATTTCTGTCGTATATGCACAGAAAAACTACCTAATACAAATGTTGTGATGTGTAAATTTTGTCGATTCGAAACGTAAGCTACCAACTTCTCATTATTTTATATTAGTTAACTGAAATTAAATCCGATGAACGATTGTTTTTTATTGGACCCTGTCTTATATTTATGTTCTGCTTGTTGTAGGTAGTTACACTTGTGTAATATCACTCAATTTTTTGTTTAATAACAATTGAAATTAAGTTATTGCATTTACACCGTAATAACTTTTGAATAAGTACGTATGGAGGAATTGTTTTAGTTCTACTTAGTGCTAAATTTCCAGTTAACACAAAAGAATTAAGGAGTTACGATGAAACAATCAAAATGACAGTAGTTGAATTCCTGTTACGATTTTCTATCCAATGCCTAAGTAACATAGTGGTTACTAGACTAAAAAAGGTGTATGGTATTTGATGTTGTCTTCTAAATGAAGACCTTCTGACTCCCAGGGCAGAGTTTGAAAGGTTTGAATTATTTTTTCTGGTTAGCGTTTTTTAGCGAGTTAGTTTTCTACAGGATGGGGACACTGACCCCATGCCCAACCCTCCTCCTTTATCCGGGCTTGGGACCGGCAGTAGCTCCCGGAGGGACTCCAGGCGGAGTTATTTTATGTTGTACAGTGGATAAATATTCTTCTGATTTTTTGAAAGATCATGTTACTGTCATCGAACAGGCGGGTTTGTCACCATGTGAAAAATTATACTTCTTGTAAAATCTAATCTCATATCATCTAATGCTCCAGTTAACTTTATCCGACTGATCCACTACGCTTAAATTGCGAATTTTCTGTCTATCATCTTTTACCATTCATGGTTACGATATAACTGTTTGTCTCATAGATTGTGCAAATCATACTAAGTGCAAATGAATTTGTTAACATATCTCATTTTCAAGAGAAAGTTATTTTCATCTAATACTTTACATTTATTCTTTCTCATCGATTAGCCAAATGACTTTTATCAATCTGTATATAAGAATGATGACATTTGAATAAACACAATTCACTGTCAAATACTTGTTTCACACCGTAATTTAGAATCAATATTCTTTGCTACAAAATGAATTCCATTGCCAAGTCTTCTTTTTTATTGTTAACAACACTAATAGTATCATATGGATTTTTATGTAGATCATAATGTCTTAAGTGACAGCAAAAGTTATATAGGTGAACACAACATCACTGAAAAATATAAATCCACACAATTTACGTATAGAATAATAAGAGTTTAATAACTCATTAATTGTAATCTAAAAGATTGAATAATTCACTTGATGAATGATCTTATTCAAACATATATCCATCATCAAAAATCTATCATAATTATGAATTAAACACGATTATCATTACCAGCTAGATTACTCCAAGTTAGTTTAGATAGATAAAGCATTAAATTTCAAAATTTATTTGTTTTATTGATAGATGATGTGATTGGCTAAATGAGACTGTTTTTTTCAATCAGGGAAGTTTTCAATTCATATAATTTCAAGAAGTGTTTATGCCAACTAATTCTATAAATATCATATTCTGAGTTGGCATGACATCATGTTGCTGTAAGTCGTACTCTGGTATCGCTTCACCTGGGGATAAATCTTTTACCTTTTACTATAGATTCCTAAAGGAATCTTAAGTACAACGTATATTGTCTCATTTTTCTAACTCCATCTTTGGATGGAGTTGAGTATGCGGAAAATTTAATTTTGTACTGAATATATAATATTGAATAAATACACTATCATTATTGTTATGGTTATTATTAGTAGCCGTAGTAGTAGTAGTAGTGCTGAGAAAAGAAAAGAAGAAAATGGGTTACAATTACTGACTACAAAATGAAAATGTGAGAGCAATTAATAAAGATTTATTTCCAAAGAAAGTGATGTTAAAATCATAGATGATCTATTTTACGAGAAGAATTGGACTACCGTTTTGCTAATTCAGCATGTTAATATCCTTTAAAATCACGCTTTCGTTTTATTTGCCTTATTTAATTGTTTCCTCTTCAGTGATATTACTTGAACATCAAATATCGTAATAGTGGTTATCTGTAGTTTTACCTTACAATTTCCTCTGGTTTTTACCACCATCTACACTTGATAACATAATGCGAGTCATAAACTTCTCAACATCACCTAGTTTTCAATTCCGCATTGATTCTGAACTTTTGTAATTTTTACGCAGAAAGTGAATCCGTCAGTCATTAGTGTCTATGATTTCCTGACATGCCTATCAACGTCGTATTTAGTTGGTTAGTAGAAATCTCCTTCTCACTTCTGTAACTTACTTAAACTTACTTTATAATTAGTACATATTCTGTCTAAAACTTAATTATGTATTAAATTATTTGTCCTAAGGTTCTTTCTGAACATATGTTATCGAGATTGTTTCTTCCGGTTTTAAATGATTGATATCAATACTTTCGCTTCAAACACTAACTTCTAGTGATTAACTTTTGATTTCTGGAATTAATTCACATAGTGACGGGCATAATCCAATTTTCATAAAACGTTTTACTAACTTCAGTGGATCAGAAATAAACTAGCGAGGAGCATATAGGTGTAACTTGTTTATATTGAAAGTTCTATTAAGACCATTACGTTATTGAAGTGAATATTATGTCAGTCGCTTGTTGTTCACTGCATGAATTCACACTTGAGGTTATCCTCAAGATTCAAGCTTTAGTCAGAACATATTTTGACATCAAGATAAGCATATGATTTTTTAGAGGAGTTTAGTTAATTCATACTAAGTAGTTGTTCTTACATATAAGCTAGCCTACCCCAAAGACAGAACTATTTCAATAAACTAAAACTAAAATTCTAACTGTATGTTCGTAATATTTTGTTATAGCTATTTATTTAACTGCTCTTTGAATAGCTCTACTGGTTTGCTTCTAACATTAGTGGGGTGGAACAAATCAACTTTGTATTTGATAGGGAAGTTCATTTTTCATCGCCTGCCTGTTAACTTTCGTGAACAACCATAGGCCGCCCATTAGGATTCTCTAACAAACTCTGTCCTGGGTTCTCCTTTCCAGTTGTTTCCTATTGTTATTCGTTATTTTGATGTCTCCTATGAATTCCCGACGCAATGTGTTCCTCACTCTGCCTCTTTTTCTGTTGCCGTCAAGATTCCAAGGTAAGGCTTGACACGTGATGCAGTCTGATGATTTCCGCAATACGTTTCCAATCCACTTCCAGCGCCATACTTAAAACCCTAGTTATGGTTTTGCACCAAGAATATAAATAATTTTGTTGAATACCAATAATTTAACAAATCTAGTGAACATTCAATTTAAAAGTGATTGATAATTAATAAGATATTTTGATCAAACCATCATCACCTAATTATGCAATAATCGTTGTATATTGTATTGTTTATGCATATTTTATTGTTCATTGACCCTTTTTTTCAAACACACAACTACGGAGTAATTGTGAACTCAACTCAGTGAACTTAGTTGATTGATTAACTTATTCACAATAAGTAAAATCTGGTTAATGTGAAAAAGAAACAGCAGAATAGCACTCGAATTATTGACTAAAACTATTACTTTCAATATTTTTAGTTATCTTAGTAATCAGTTGATTTTGTTGTAAATCAGTCTTGATGAAAACTGACTCAGTGTACCATATGTTACTCATAAGGGATAATATTTTTTACAAGTATTATGCATTTATCTATTTATGCCTAAAGTGAGGACGGATTGATACTAGTCTTGCGCTTTTTATTATACGTAATTAAAATGATAATTAATTAAAAGTCTTGTCCTTTGCATATACCAGCTCGAAAATAACCTTTAGTTATCTACACACAGTTGTACTGTTTTTCGTGATAAAAGCAAGAAAAAATATAGAAACTGATCGATAAGATCGGTAGAAAGCATCATTTTTTTTAATTGCAAGGAGAGGTTATGAAAAACAACATGCAGCTTTAAAACCTTATCGATTAAGGATTTTATTAAAAGAAAATAGCAGAAACTGTAGTTGGAAAAGTTATAGAAATATAATTCAAAGTTTAATCAAGAATTTTCGTTAAATTGTACTCAAAAGGGTTATATCTGCCGCCTTCCGCATTGTTACGAGCTGATGTATTAGGAAAAATCACTTTAATAAACAAGCTTTTTATACTAATCATCCACCCTGGGTCTATTCACTTGATCATATATTTAGGTGCGTGAAACTAGCTTTTTTCCATTCATCATCCGAAATGAGTATGTTTTCTTAACTGTATTTTCGTTGGATTCACATGTTACCGGATTTCCCATACGACAAATAAGTAATCAATAAATGATTTGTTGTTTAGATTAGCTCCCATTTATCTATGTTTTACAAAATGACGATGATTATGTTATCAGATTTTAGTGAATCATCCTAATTGAAAACCATTGGTTTAACTGGTTTTTCTCGTATTATAATCTAGTTAAAATGATTTCAACGTCATCCATAAGGTGATAATCATTAGTTAATTCTGTTGGCTCAAGTCAGTTTGATAAAATTGAAAATCCGATCACTGTCTTACCAATAATATTGCTACAATGAAACAGATGTTTGCTAGTATTTATCGCTTTAGTATCACACTGACATTAAGTGATTAAGTGATTATTTTATTTTGGGGAAGGCAGAATGCTGAAATTTACGCATTAAAAGGTTGCTTTTATGTCTACTGGATAAATCAAAAGATTGTATAGGCTAAGTTTATTGGGTCTTGAAAATGCAGTTAATAAACTTCAATTATGACCATTTCTTTGGACAATATCATAGCAATTTGCTGCTTAAATTCACTTATAGCCATTTTTATGATTAAAAACAAAAACTAATATTCGACACCTTAATAATTCAGTCATTGCTCCCAACGGTTCCCTCTTGATTCGTTTGTTTCAGTGAGTTGTTTCCTCACTTGAAAAAGTTTCCATGATTGCAGAAACTCTGTTGTTTTTGTTTACTTATAGCATACGAGTTTTTGGTATACTGTGCTATATAATGTATAATCATAATCTTCTGAACCAGTAGAAGAAAAAATGTTGTACAATCAATAATAA